TAGGAGCCTGACTTGATGCAAAGGTGCTGGGAGGTGATTGATGCTCAAGCAGAGCTAGCTGTGACTTCAGAAGGGTTTGCAGACATTGAGTACAGTTCTCTGGAAACTATCCTTTCTAGGGAAACATTGAATGTAAAAGAAACAATTCTGTTTAAAGCGATACTGAAATGGGCAACTGCAGAGTGTTTGAGAAAAGAAATTGAACCAACTCCTGAAAACATGAGAAAAGTATTAGGTAGGGCTCTCTATTTAGTTCGCATCCCAGGGATGGCTTTGGAAGAATTTGCCAATGGCCCTGCCCAATCTAAGATACTTACTTTACAGGAAACCACTGATATTTTTATCCACTTTACAGCCAAGAACAAGCCAATTCTGAATTTTCCAACTCGACCTAGGACAGGACTCAAGTCACAGGTATGTCATCGGTTTCAGTCTTCGGCCTACAGGAGTAACCAGTGGAGATATCGAGGCCGTTGTGACAGCATTCAGTTTTGTGTTGACAAACGTATTTTCATTGTCGGCTTTGGACTGTATGGTTCAAGTAATGGTGCCTCTGACTACACAGCAAAAATTGAGCTAAAAAGGATGGGTAAAGTTCTAGCTGAAAATAATACCAAGTTCTTCTCTGATGGCTCTAGTAACACATTTCATGTTTATTTTCAACATCCAATTCAAATTGAATCAGACACCTTCTACACTGCATGTGTAATACTGGATGGAGCAGAGTTAAGCTATTTTGGTCAAGAAGGTTTAAGTGAAGTCACTGTTGGTAATGTTACATTTCAGTTTCAGTGTTCTTCAGACAGCACAAATGGAACTGGTGTGCAAGGTGGTCAGATACCAGAACTAATCTTTTATGGAACATCTATGCATTCTTGAGTTATGATTTGGTAGTCAAATATGCATACAAAATTATATACATTTAAAGGTATCCTATTGTCACTCAAGCTATGCACCCATTTTTGTAAGGTGGATGTTGATGTAACTTACACCAGAAAAGACAAGACTTTCTAAATTTATTTATTTTTTGTTTACTGTACTAGAAAAATACTGAAGAATTACTGATGGAGACTTACCATATGTCTAAAATTGCATAAATGGTCTACAATGTACATAATTAGCAAACCCACACTTCAATTACAGGCTGCAATCTCTGCTTTTTATCATTTCCCAATTGATTCACACCATACACTTCAGAGGTTAGATATGGAAATTGCCAATTTTGAAAGAGAACATGCATATTCTGATTCGGAGACTGTAGTATGGCAAGGTCAGTGAGTGTTTATATTTAGTATTGGGACTACACTGGTGAAAGTTCCAACTTGTATCTTTTTTTTTCTTAAATTAATTATTTTGTGGTGTAAACATTTTATGTAATAAACTTGTTATTATAATTATTATTATGTTTCAACCTCTCACTTCCTACTAAATAACCCATTTAAGTATTTAAGGGACATAAGCAAACTAAGACAGTATATTACCAGCAATGAAATCTATCATCCTTCTGAACAACATTAGTTTGTAAAGTATTTTAGTCACAGAAATTTGCCAGAAGAAAAACATATAAAGAATAGCATGCTGAGCAAAATGATTCTACAAATCAACGAAATCTGACTCTTTCCAAAAAATAACTTTCATCATGCTTTTCTCACAATAATTGGTAGAAAAATTACCAAAAAGAGACTTAATGTAATTAATAGTAGTCTGTTTACAATAAACTTCCTTCAAGAATAACTGATAATAGGAAATATTATTGAAATTCCTTTTGCACCATAAATCCAGAAAGGAAGAATTTCATAAAAACTTAAGTATATTGTAGTAGCATCTGAAATTAAATTTACCAAATTACTGCAAAATCTTTCAAGTCCAAAATTCCTTTAAATTGTATTTTAAAAAAACAACTGTTTCTTAGATTTGATTTTTTTCCACATAACAATTAAGTTAAAATGACAATTATTACATATAAATTTTTTCAAGAAAGTAATATCACTTATTAATGATAGTTAGTGAAGGAGTATTTTAAAAACTAAATTTTTAAACAAAAAAAATGTGGAAGGTTCTTTAAAACAAATACAGTTTAATACATAAAACATAATTTTGTTTTAAAGAAGGATACATTAAATTATACAGAGCATACAAGTTTAGTCACATGAATAGCGTTCAATAAATTCATATCCCACGTGATGAATTTATAGTTCATATAATAACTAGAAACACCTGTATTTTACGTGAGGAAAAAAAGTAGAGCTATGAACAAATTGGCTTTCTATTTTAAGAGTTTAGCATACCAGTTTCTGTTACATCCTTTCACATTTTGTTTGCAAGGCTCCACTACTTTATCAGAGTAGAAGAAAAGAACATTTTAATGAATTAAACATTATAATTACTTTAACCATGATGGACAGAGTACATCAAAAGTACCACACTGTACAAGTTTCTGAGAGACGTTTTTAGTTCAGTAAGTTTTAATTTCAGAAATAGTTACTTAAGAATGGTCTTAAAGTTGAGAGTAAGGCACAGAGAATTATGTAAAAAAATTCAGAACTAGGCACAAAAATCACATGGTTTCAAATACTACTACTGAAATTGGAGTTTGTAACATCATTGTATTCACTCATAATGCACCCTAAACTGGAGAGGGACTTTATCATTTTTATATCCAAAGATTTTTTACCTCAGAGGGTAACTATTTTCACAACATCAGACCTGAGAGTATATACATAAACAATATTAGTTTATAAAGAGCTAGAGGAGCCCTATATTTTATGGGGTTATTGGATAGACAACTATGGAAGTTAAAGAATATATAAATATGTCTTCCATCATGAAAGCAGACACTAAGAACTCTAAACCAATTGTATTGCTAGCAATCATATAAAATTAAGCATTACTGTGCCCATTTCTGAGTTTTTCCATATCAATGTATGGCCCGGGAAGAATTCTAAATAGTCTTTCTAAAGTTCTATCATTATCATTGGGAAACCTACAAGATGAATGTGCTACCATTGAAGTTAAACCTATGAGTGAATTAAAACCTAGAAGTTCAAATTGTCCGTTATTATTGATTGTTCTTTTTAGTAATTAATAAAATAGTTGTTTTTATCTTTAGAATAGATTGCCTTGAGAAAAAATATTGGACAAATGTAAGCAAATAGAAGAGGAAGATATACCTTTTGAAAGTGTTCAAGAAAAATCTTGGATAACATCTAAACAAACAATAAAAGGAAGATCTACCTTTCGTAAGTGTTCAAGAAAAATCTTGAATAACATCTAAACAAACAATAAAAGGAAGATCTACCTTTCGTAAGTGTTCAAGAAAAATCTTGGATAACATCTAAACAAACAATAAAAGGAAGATATACCTTTCGTAAGTGTTCAAGAAAAATCTTGGATAACATCTAAACAAACATTTCTTGAATTCTACCTTTCGGAAGTGTTCAAAAAAAAGCTTGGATAACATCTAAACAAACATTTCTTGAACTCTACCTTTCAGAAGTGTTCAAGAAAAAGCTTGGAATAACATCTAAACAAACAGAAAAAGGAAGGTCTACCTTACAGAAGTATTTAGGCAAATTTAAATGTGCCTAAATATTGTCCTATTATTATTTCTTTTAAAACAGCTATAGATCAATGGTCTCTACCAGTCTGTATATGTACCCCATTGGCTTTTTAAACATTTTCTAAAATATTTATGCACAAAATTGCTTATGGATTCACGACTTTTATAGTTGTATGACTGCTAATAACATAATAGTCATACAAAAAAGTAACCTTACATACAATCAATACTGCAATTAACCCCCACTAATAACTGTTGAGGTTTTCTGTTTATTTTGCACAGAAATGAGTGACTTCTTCCAATTTTTAGTCATTTCTTTACACTGACTGTTGTAACAGGGAAAAACATAAAGTTCTTATAGTAACAATGTGTTAATTAAGTTGTTTATCCTTTTACCAAGAGACACAAATAGCCATAATGATCTTGCAACCATATTTTAGCTTTAAAAAAAATACCATCACGGTAATAAAATGTACCTTATAATTTAATAGCATCATAGTTTTGCTCTTAAGCTTACCTTAAAACTTTTCTCAAAGATACAAGTGAAAACAAAATTATAAAGTTTTTGAATAAAATATTGTAAAAATTATATGAATTGGTCAAATTTAAGTTCAAATACTACCATTTCTATTGAACTTTAAGCAATTTACAATGCACATCTGTATTAATAGAGTGATATTTTAAATATGATGATAAGTGAGCTTCTGATTTATAAACCTCCTAAAAAAAATCAGTTACCATCTTTATTGTCACTTGTCCAAATGCAAGATTATGACTAATACAAAAAATAAAACTTTAATATTTTTAAAAATGAATTACATATATTAATTAGAAATTATGGTTGCAATTAGTTTCCAGGCAACCGTTTAAGGTTGTTTCTATTATTTTTTATAATTCTAAGCAAGCACCAAAGATACAGATTTGCAACAATTTTACAGACTATCAAGTGTTTTTCATGCAAGTATTTCATACTTAGAAACTTAAAAACTTTTTTATAAAAATGAATTAACCCCATTAATTATTCTGATAATTTTCTCCTTATCTTTGATGCAAATATCTATGTAGGCAAAGTCATATATTTACGGTAAAAAATATGTACTAGAACAAACTCACCAATGGCTGGAATATTGATGCACAATGCTGATGAAATTCTTAAGTAGGTTTTTCCCAGTTCGTAGACGTTGACCTAAACAAAAAGTATTGGTAATCTGAGACATTAAAGCATATTAGTCAAATTACATAACACAACTAATGTCCAGCAAAGAACGAATATAAACAAATACACACTAAAAAGTATTTATCTCAAATCTTTAAAAATACACAACTTCAGTAAAATCAGGATAAACCACAAGGTTTTCTCATCTTATTATTTTCATAAATTAAACAGATGCCTATCCAGTCATTGACAATTTTAGTTTTCATTTAACGGCAAAACAGGAACAATACTCACAGTATGAATTATCACTTAAAATGCGAGTCTCTAGTAGTTTAGGTGGAATTAACCACTACCTACACTGAAAAACACAATGTACAAATATGTAGTAACAGATGTTATACAAAATAGAAAAAACCCCATATTTTAAATATAGTAATAAAATGTTATCATTATATAAATATAACTTTAGTTTCTTACTTGCAGAACATCACTCAAATCCAGAAGCATATCTATACTGTAAGTTAAGAATAATGCAGCAACAGAAAAAATAAAAATTCATAGTTCACAAGATTGTTAAATTTATATTTGATAAATACAACACTTTTTATTCTCTCTATCTAGATCACTTTATATAGTATATTACTCTTAACTTCTATAACATTAAGTCTCTAACTAAGTTCCATAACAAAAAGCTTGTAACTCTTTCTCTATTGACATAATGTTGCAAGAAGTGAAATTAGTACTAAAAAGTAAGAAGATGCGTATCATTGTCTTTCTTAAACCTTTCTGAGCATTAGTACATTAAACAAACATATTTAACTACTGAAACAGATCATCATCTTAAATTATAAATCTTTAAGACTTGGGTAAAGTAGTTGACTGAATGTAATGTGTGTGGAAAAAGAACTGAGTGTATGTATACTTAAACTTTGGGACATCATATTTAACAGCAATTAAATTAGTTTCTTTTTAAAATATAAAGCATAAAAACAATGAATCCATAATGTTAAAGATATAACTAAATTTGACTAAGAATAAACATGAGATTTAATATTTATAACTTTTAATGTGAACTGAATTCTAATAAGTTGGAGGAAATTTTGTTTGAAGAAATAACAGCAAAATGCTTGAAAATTCCATCTCTAACAAAGACGAAGGACAGACTGAGTAATTTCATAAAGAGAAGCTACTTAAATCTCCCTGATTTGTAACTTAGCAACATTTTGTTGAGTAAAATGATCAATTTTATACCAATTGACCAAATTAAGTAGGTATCTGTTCTTTAAACATCTTTCCAATTCAATAGGATTTTTTTTAGGTAGTTGGTGCCAAAAATAGGTACATAATAATAGGAAATTAAATTGCTCTCTTTTTCAACCACACTGACATGTTACCAATTTATATATGAATATTTTATATACAGTAGTAATGCCATAAAAGGATACGTGGAGTGCCTTCGATTCTGCAAACCATGTATATACATGCAGCAATTAAATGGGATTGTTTTCTTCCTCTTGTCATATGGCGTGAAAGAGCCATCTTGTAAAAGTTGTAGGCAGTATCGATGCAATGTTGATTTAAACGCAGCTGCTCAGCAACTTGCACTATTTTTCTTCGAGCTAAGATAAAGAAGAACAGTTATACAATCAATTAATGTGCTAAAAAGCAAAGTACTTTAAAGTTTTACCAGATGTAAACACATATTCATAAATATTTATATTTCAAATACAAATAATGTTTAACCTGCTAAATTAGCATTCTGTTAAAAAAATTCAAATGACTTTAGACTATATTTTGCACGACCAACACTTTTGTGTTATTTCTATGACAGAGCTAAACGTAACCTTGTTTAAGACAATTTTTGTTAGATTGTTTTTGATTTAAAAGGACAGAGTATAAATTTCACACATTTCATTATTCCAAAGTTATGTATTTTTATCATGCAAATTATAAAATACGACTAACTATATCTCCTCAAAAACTGTAATAAAATTTGAACTCTTAAGAAAATGAATTTTGGTAGTTTTAAGTGTATTTTAATATCAGTGTTTAGTATCATGCAAGAATATTAAACTGTTCATGTGTATGTACATTAATTTCCTTGTGCTGCAGTATTCAGTTATAGTTTTACTATTCTTAACCTCTAATATTAATGAGCATATTTTTACATGCACATCGTCTTCATGAACCCCCTAAGTAGTCTATTCAAGGCCCTATTACTAAAATCAAACCAAAATGTTTATCTTCCTACATTTCCAGAGTTTATAAACATATACATAATACACATTCCCACAATATTAATTACAACTGTTGAGTAACTATTTTTTATTTAATTGGCTAACCTTACTATGGCTGTTAAAATGTTTGCATAGAACTAAATAACAAATATATTATGTTAACAACTTTAAAACATTACAATAACAACTTAGGGGCCACAAAATTTGTGTTTAGAAGCAACATAACTCAGTGTTTTAGTTATAAACTTCAACCAACAAACCTGCAATTCTTAACTCAAGTACACCTAAGTGATAAAATTCTACTACTTGTATGTAGTTTTCTTTCTCTTTCAGCAGTCCAGTTAAATAATTTGTGTGGGTATTTTCATGAAACAACATACTTTTGTTATTAAATAGTAACCTGATTTCTATTCCCAGGTAACCTATATACACAGGTGGAGGTTAAAGTGCACATACCACAACCTTTTACAGGCTGCCGGTTAATATGGTATCATGTATTTGATGTCAGAGTTATCAACTATTCATTTTGGTCTACATTACTGACTTAGCAACAGTTCATGGCAGAGGAGAGTAAGTACCAGATATGATATACAAGGATACTGAAAAACAACTGTAGATATGCATTTCAGAAGTTCTGGAGATTAAGCAGATGCAATGTTCAAACTGTACGACTGACAAAAGTATTTTCATTCTTCACATAAAAATCATCTTGCACTCTAACTTGTAAGTCTAAGTCAGAGTGACATCACTGATTCACAAACATATCTTTGGTAGAAATAACAAATTTGATATTCTGTGTATGACAGATCTGTACATTTCAGTCAAAGTTTGCCACACTATCAAAGTTTGTAATTGCAGTCAACACTCCTTATCCAATATGGTTAAACTATAATTTTCAGCCCTAGTGGCTATATTTTGGTTCCTATCTAAACTTTGACCTGTGTCAAAGGTTCTGTTCTACTAGTTTAAACCTCATTAGTCTGGCTTCTTTTCCCCTTTTATTTTACACATTTTAACTCTTACAACCTGTTTCCATCTAATATGCATATCTCAACCCAAAAGCGCTGATTCTGTCAATATCTAACCTGCACACTTCAACACCAGTAAACTAGTTTTTCACATAAGTAATAAGTTCCAACCCATGTGACCAAACTCTTGTTCATTTCAGTTTATAACTTTCACTCTCATAGACCTAATTTATGCTAAATTCCATTTCATAAGATTCAAACTCATTCTCCTGATCTCTGTTCCCATCAAAATACAGGTTTCAATACAAGAAAATAGTGCATTGGTTTCTATTCCAACAACACCTTCAAGTTTGAATCCCAGTGGTCTGGCTTTTGTTCCCTTTTAATTTGAAATCACAACCCCAGGTGTGTATGTGCTCAAATCTATGCTTAATAATGAACAATAATGACTAATGATACTTGTACCATTGTAAATGTACTTTCAACATGTACAGAACTTTCAGATTTTATATACATGGCAGCCACATATGCAGAAGCCAAAATTGTACTTGCCTGGTGATAAAACAAAATTACTTTTTTGTTCTGTCTTTAGAAAACAGATATATGTATAACTGACAGTCATCATTTAACAAATTCATATATGTGGGATAATTGTTAGCTTTAATTTTTGGTTTAAAATCTCTTTCAATGCAAAAATCCTGGAATATTATACTCTACAATTTCATTACACAAACATATTACATTCTGTTTTTGAACACATTGTTTAGAACAATGTTAGTATGAAGTTATGAATATACAATGTACATGATGACTTTTGTCAAATCACACACTGTTCTTTTTATTAATTGTCACTCTCTTGCTAGTGTTGAGTAAATCCATTCAATTTTATTATCTAAACACAAGATTCAAAGTATAGTATTTTACTTTATTATAATCTAAATGAAAGAAACTCCATTACGTAGTTTATTATGAAGAAGAACAATGGAAACCTAGAGAACAAAAAAAAGTATCATTTTACAAACCCTAAAAATAGTTTTAATTTAAGGAATACAAATGCAAGAAATGATGCAGCTAATTTTCAGATGCCTGATATAAGTAGATTTTTTAAGTTTCACACCAACAAGTAAAAACAAGTTTTGTGTGAAGAGCTGGTAGTCAAGGTGCAAGAGATACTACACTTTACGGTTTAAATGCCAAAAGCAGAAATAACATTGTGAACTGTTTAAACAGTAGTTTTTTAAAGTGTTATACAGCAGATATAAATAACATTTTAGACAAACTTTTATTCTTCATCATTCAGCCTAACTGATGAGTTCTGGTATTAAATTAAAGTCCTCATGGCCAGTGACTTGTAAGAGAGTCTGAGACAAAAGATAGATCCAAAATACTATTTTTACACTCCTCACATATGGAATCCAAAATGGAGAAAACTAAGAGGAGTGTGGAAAAATAGAATATCTGCAGTTTATGTGCTTTGCATCACAAATGTATGAAAGATCCACTTAGAGAAGAGAGGAACTTAAAAATATTGGCTAAAATTTGTCAATCCTCTTCAAATATCCAAGTTCATTATACATATGAGAGTTAATTACAATTTAATGTACTCCAGGGAGTAAGAACAAAAACAACAAATATGAGCTACCAAAATCTTTAAATAAACACGTATATGACTAACAAAAGAACTTGTAAATGATGGGCTAAGACAGGCCTCAACAAATATTTTCCGATCTAGGAACCAGCCAAAAGACTCAGGTGCCAGGTGTGCTTAACCTAACTTCACTACTGTTTGTACCGGGAAATGGGGGCAACACTAGTGCCTTGATTACCTGCATCTGTTATCAGTGATTTTTCCAATTTCCTCAAAATAATTGAGCCATTTCAATTCTAGACAATAATTTACATATTTTGGAGAAATTGTCACTCAGAAATTAATTTTGGTTGCAAAAGTTCAGGTGTTGCATGATATATCGGGGTTTTCATGTGCAGAGTCTGATGTGCATTCAAATTGTAAGTCGACTGGCTCAAGCCTAGCTTGTTATTTTTAGTTGTTAAAACAACAATACAAAATATTTATAGCTTAGTTAACTTTATTTGGTTAAAAAGACAAATACAGCTAAAAATCGCATAGGTGACGAAAATATCAAAATTAAATAATAGATTGGACAATTGCCAAGTTTCTATATATTTTTATTTGAAGATAGATGACATTTCGAGTTAGCACCCTTTACCAGATCACACAGTTTACAATGAGTGGGATACACTAATGCCTCGATTACCCACTGTTTCTGTGATCTGCAATTTTTTGCTTTTCCCAGACTAGCACTGATATTTTTTCACAGGCATTGATAGGATGCAAATGCACTTCTGTGTCTATAGCAGAAAACGTGCCAAAATTTAGGAGCTAATTATGCCTATGTTAACAATTAAATTAAACTAAAATTGGGATAGGTGATCAAAAGAAGAAGAAGTATTTGAGGAGAAATAGTGGAATTGGACTCTTGTAACTCACGAAATTTGGAGAAATCGTGTATGACTAACTGACTGACCGACACTTGGCTTTTATGATTATGACAACTTTTATAATTTTTCATGATAATGTGATTAAATGACAGAAAAAGACTATAATTTAAAACAAGGAACTTAAATATATTGAAGAACTTTATTTAGGTTAAACTTATGGGTTAATTAGTGAGACACACTAGTGTCTCGATTATCCACTGTTTCTGTGATCTGCAATTTTTTGCTTTTCCCAGACCAGCACAGATAATCACACTAACTGAATGAATTGAGAGAAAGAAGAAAAACAAAATTGCAAAAAATTAGTAACATGTTGTGCAACTACAGTGCTTCATTCTTGAAAACACATGAAAAACTGCTGAATCTCCCATTAAAATCCTAGAAACAAAGTTTGATTTAGGACTCAAAGAATGCTAAAATAGTTCCAAGAGTCCAGAACTGTTCTACATTCAAGTTCTCTTTAGCACAGCCCTACACATGAATAAAATGGGAGAAAATACTAGGTGCAATGATGAATTTTTTAGTTGCCATGGCAACCTGGTGCATGCGACTTGTCAAGGCCTGGACTAAGATGTAAAAAAATATTATCTTGGCTTAAAAAATATAAACAAATCATTAGTCTCACTAATATATAGTGAATGTATTAGTAGCTTAAGGTAGATAAGTTGGTGATTGTACTAGTTAATGATAAAATGTCTTATCTTAAGAAGATGTGAGCTGCTGTTCACTAATAAAAAGATTTTTAAAGATTTAGAGCAATTATTACTCCTGAAATATTTAAGAATCAATTCATCTAGTTCTATTTAAACATGAGCTGGACAGTAATTACATAATCTATAAAGTCCATGTGCTCAGTAAACAGTGGCAGGAAGGTATAGGAAGTACCAATAACATTTA